AGCATTTCATAATTTGTGTCTTTAAACGGAATTAAGGTACAAAGAAAACTCCACCAGCCACATATTCTTTAAGAACAGCCAGAGAGAAGATTTGGGTCATTACAACTGTTATTAGAAGTTGTGTGATTAAAAACAAAAGGGGAATTACATTGTAATTAATAGGTTAGGAGGGACAGACATTGATTTTTAGATAACTTCAGAAAGTATTAGGTTCAAACAGGAGTTTTACAGGAATTCTAAGAGATGTTTGTTGCCTTTCTTTAGAAGGAGAAACATCCTCAAGAGACTTGAAGGATGGCTACCTAGATTGGGTGTAACTTTGTAGTTCTGTTTGTGTATTTAATAGCATGGGGGAAATAATAGTGTACTCTTTCTAGCTGATTTTGGGGGCTGTGGGATGTGTGAGTGTTCACATTCCGTGTATTGATTTATTGATGGCTGTTATTGCTAGGCAATAGTATGTTAGGTTTTATGACATATGATCCCATTTAATCTTCATAGCAGCCGTGTGAGGGAAAGTGTTACTATTCCCATTTTACAAATGAGCAAACCGAGGCCTGGAAATATTAAGCAACTTGTTCCTGTAATGCAGACTGGGGCAGGGCTGGGACTTGGACCCAGGGCTTCTAATTCCAAATCCAGAGTTCTTTCCATGATGTCATACCATCTTTGAAAGGTGCAAGTGATCTGAAGGATTGACCTTACTTGGTGGCTCGGGATGGCTTTGGTGTCCTAGTCTTTGGAAGTTGAGCCAGTGATTCATTGCCTTATATGTGAAAAGCCAAGTTATGGCCTCAAGGCTAATTCAGTTCCTTTTGTTGTTTATAGTATCAGTGATTTGCCTTCTTAAACAGTTTGTGACAGCTTTGGTACATTTCTGAATGTAATCAACTTTTGTGAGTAGGTCAGACTTTTCTCCTGAAATTCAAACATTTTGGGGAAAATGACACTGTTATTTATTGACTATGCTTATTAGGGGAAAATATTATTGCCAATCCCCTTTTGATTCTGTTTTCTAGACAGATGAGGGATTACTTGTCTGGGTTTCAGGAGCAGTGTGATGCTATATTGAATGATGTAAACAGTGCTCTTCAGCATCTGGAGTCATTGCAGAAACAGTATCTTTTTGTGTCCAATAAGACAGGAACGCTACATGAAGCCTGTGAACAGCTCCTAAAAGAACAGGTAATTTGGAGTAGGAGAGAGGGCCAGTAGTTATGTTTAATATTTTGTTTTAAAATGGATAAATATGATTTAATTTTAATTTTCTTAATTTCTTGAAGTAGATGTTGAACACTGCTCTTTATGAGGCCCTGTGCTAAGTATGCAGATTGTTAAATTGACAGCCTGTTTTTATTCTAAATAAGCTCATGTAAGCAAGGGCAAAGGCAAGCTTTCCTATATTTTGATCTGTTAGGTCTCAGCACAGTTTCAAAGTGTAGTGGATATATAAGTTTGCTGTGTCCATTCTTTATTGACACTTTTCAAACAAGCATAGTGATTGTACTAATGGTGGGGTTTATGAGAAGATCAACTCATTGAGGTTACGCTTAAATTTACGACTTAGAACATTTAGGTTACTATATTTATCTCTAAATTTTCTCTATATGTACTTCTGTGTTTTTAAAATGTGACCATTTATTATTTTGTGAAAAGATCATAAGAAATTTACTGTAATAATTCTTGCCTATTTTAGTTCAGAATTACAGAAATATTTGAGCTTTATTCAGGAATCTGATGTCTGATATAAACATTTATGTCTAGTATAAATCTATTCAGTGTAATTTTGAGACCGGAGTGTTGATTTTCTTATTCTTATAATAATTGGTTTTTCTCTTTTAAAAAATGCAAGTCGGAACTTGTCGATCTGGCTGAAAACATTCAACAAAAGCTTTCGTATTTTAATGAATTGGAAACTATTAACACAGTAAGCATTTTTTACTTTTTGTAAAGTTAGTGATTTTTACTTTGTATTTCTCTTTCTTAGTATAATCTTTAAACTTATAAATTGTCTTGAGTGATATTTTAACTTAGTAGTTTGCTTGCTGATATATATTCCTATTGGTAGCCAATGGAGAT